GGGAATCTGTGATCACCTGTTGAGTTGTGTAATTTTGTACTGCTCTGCTTGAGGAGCTTACAGAGGGATCATTGTATATATAATTCAACAGTATGATGGCTTTTCCTTATCCTGACAAGGATTGTGCTTTAAAAAACTAGGTCAAACCCCTGCAGTGGGAATTGCCCACCAGTTTGCTTTTAAAAGTGGTTTAATGTTGATGTTGTTGCAGCAGAGCTATACCTTTCTGTTAATCAATAAAATGTTCTCAGATTCCTTAGCCAAATCATGTCTATTATAGCTAGGTGTTTTTGAAGTGGCAAGTTTTAGCACTGTAAAAGCTTGCATATTCTAATGGTTAAAAAAAGACCTATTCTTGCATTAGCACAAGATGTTTCTGCAAACCTAATTTAGGCTATCTCTGTCTTTGCTTGACTTATCTCACTAAACTACATACACTTTCTCCCCATCTAGTAGCATTTATTTTGTAAAAATTGAGGTCTTATGTTTGCTGGAATTCAGTGAGGAAAAACTGGATGAGAGTAGTTTGTGTATAGTACACACAAACCAATCTATAAGGGACTACAAGGAAATAATTTTTGTGCTTTAATTAGACCTGCCTTGTTATTTTTAGCATTTGCATTATATTTAATCTGTTTTGAGAAGGAAACGTATTTCAGCTTGGAATGTATTTCAGCAACACTACCTACAAGTACATAAGGCAGCTATGTAGCCTTCTGCTTCAAAAACTATCAACTGTGTTTTGAAGCAACTTTCAGAATACCAAAATATACATTCTTGTGTAATATTTTACTGTCTTGGTATCCACCATAAGCTTCCGTAGTAAGTAATAAGAATAAAAAGTTTAAGTAACCTCACTCTTCTACTTCAGCGGGGATTTTTTTTTTAACTTTGTTTTATTTACTGAGAGGTCACAATAAAAACTTTGCTTTTTGACAGTATGTGTTTAGGCAGTTACTCTGAGTAATTAAATTTATGAACCAGGTCTCCACCACGTCTCTGCAGATGCTCGTCGTGATGTGTCAGGTATTTACAAACATTTTTTTATCTGCAGAGTCACGTGACAGGATTTTAGCCCTTCTATAGTAAGGAGCTTCTGATAGCTACATGCTGGCCCATAATTAAATTAATAGCTTCTGAAACTTAAAACAACTTAACAGGCTGAACTGGTAGCTACTCGTACTGCCACTTCCTAACACATTTTTCTTTTACTATCTCAAGTTAAATAATTCTTGTTATCTTTTATCTCTCGATACTTGCAAAAAATATTAGCTGTTAAGTATTAAAATGTTAATTTCTACTGGTACTTCCACTGACAAGCAAGTTATTTTAAAAGCTCACTTATTCTACTGCAGAATTTTTTAAATCTGTTGTTTTTCCTGGATTCCCTTAAGTAAAGCTTAGACTAAACTTTGATGATATTTTGTTTAAATATCTGTCAGCACACACTTCATAGTGTGTTTGCTTTTTCTATTTTATATTCTAATCAGCACCTTTTCCCTTGTCAGCGCTTCTCTTTATGATTTACCTCTTATAAAGGAATTCGCAAGTTTCTGCTCTCCTTATTCAAGATTTTGTACAACCCTCTTGTGCATCATGCTTCATCTCTTTTCATAGCCATCCTTATTCCCTGTGACAGAATTTCTAAGTTTCAGATGCCCTTAACCACATCCCCTGTTTACTGATTTTTTTTTTCCCAAGCTACATGGTAACGTTCAAGACATTTACACTTCATGTTCCTCAAGCTCTTTCAGGTACCTAACTCCAAGGGGCTTGCCTGGTCCATGACAGGAACAGGCTTTATAGACTGTGTTTGTTATTTTAGTTCACTTCTCTGTGGAGTAGGTAGAAGGCTACCACCTTCCAACCTCAAAGGTGGCCTTGCAGCGTCAGAAAAATCCTATACATATTAGGCCACCTCTAAGGATGCATCATATTTTCCTGCCAGTCTGATGTCACAGGAATAGGCTGGTTTTATATCTCACTTTGCCTTGTGCTATTCCTAGACATTCTTTTGCTCATCAGCATACCCATCCTCTGGCCAGTTCAAGAGTATCAGAGTGACACACAGTGAATTATTTCAATTACCTTTCATTACCTGAAGGGGGCCTATAGAAAAGATGGAGACAGACTTCTTAGTTGAGCCTGTTACAATAGGTCAAGGCATAATGGTATTAAACTGAGGGAGGGTCAATTTAGATTAGTTATAATAATGAAGTTTTTTACAATGAAGCTGGTAAAAGATTGGAACAGGTTACCCAGAGAGGTGGTAGATGCCCCATCCCTGGACACATTCAAGTCCAGGTTGGAGGGGCTCTGAGCAACCTGATCTAGTTTAAGATGTCCATGCTCATTGCAGGAGGGTCAGACTAGACAACCTTTAAAAGGTCCCTTCCAACCAAAACCATTTTATGACGCTATGATTTTAATTACTTTGGATGTTGTTTAACTGGGGAGATGGTACATGTACAATAGATTCCCTTCTGACAAAAATGTTTTCAACACAATTTACAGCTGATCCTTGATCTCCAAACAAAGATCTCCAGAAGTTAAATAGGAATAAGACCTAAGAAATACTTTGATTTACCTTCCTACAAATACATATTTCTATTCATTGATAAGTTTTATAGGAGTTCAAGTTTTATTCATCCCTTCAGACAGAATTCTCTGTAGAAAAGGGTTCTTTTATATTTCTCCTGCAGGTTTCTTCTGCAGTTATTTTTCCAGGATACCTTTCAGTGAATGTTGAGCAGGGATAGCAGTGCTAGGTCATTACTTTGGCCAAGTTACTACAGTTTCACAGCTGTGTTAGTTAACATGCCCCTTGTTGTTCTATCACTTTTTAAACCGAAGATCCCACTGAAGTTGATGTGAACTTTTACCTCTGTTTCAATATCAGGATATGGCTCCTTGTACAGGGGAGTCCTCCCTGCCTAGTTACCAATTGTACGCAGCTCTCCTCCCTTTCCTTGAAGATAAATCTCCTTATCTGGTTCCTTTTTCTAGACAATAATATTGTAGAGAGAAGAAAAAGAATAAAAGTAGTTCTTGGACAAAAATGTTGGCTATTAATTATCATTATTGTGCAGTTACATTCTTGTGTAATTCTTGTCCCCTTGGAGCCTTATTGTGCAGATATGTGAGGCTAAGTATTTCCTCCGCCATAAAACAGACATCGCAGGTTTTCGTCTCATTCCCCTGCGTAAGTTGTCACTACAAATGAAAGATTAACAAAACAAAATTCCACCTCTTCCTGAATTCTGAGAATTTCTTTACAGAATTAGAATATTGCTAACAGTCAGACAGACAGAATTCTCTGCAAGTTCTGTGTTAACCTGAGGAAAAACTAAAGAAGGTTTACAGAGGTCACATTGACATACTACTTTATGGTTTTGTGCATGTGTAAGCTACATATTTTGCACTGTAATGAACTTACCATGATTTATTTGTTGGACACAGCATTGTCATGTATATTCTAGTTCCATAAACTTATGGTGAAAGATGAAAATGGTGTGCATCAACTTTGTAAAAGATCCTAAACCTTTTCCTGTTTACACTATAAAATGAAATAGAAGAAGAAATATCCTGTAGTGAAATACTCTCTGAGGTACATTTTTAGCTTCAGTGTTTGAAAGTGGAGAAAAGATAGGAATGGAAAAGCTCTTGAAGTGACTACTTTTATTTGAAATTGAAGTCAGACTTCATTCTAATCAACTTAAAACATTACTTGAAGATCTATGAGCTAGTAGCTTTGAAATGTCTACTTACTCTCTCAAGTTTATCTTGGGAATTAGAGATCATAAATGAACTTTTTAAAATATTTTTTGGAAATCTGGGTTCCTTTTAAAATCATGATTCTCAGGGGGCCTAAGTTCACCCTTATTGGGGCAATAAATATGGGTAGCTGATTCTAAATTAGGAGTTTGAATCTGACCAAAAAATAATTCAAGCTGAAGCAATGCCCCAGTCTGAGTCATTTAAATGGCTAAGAATTTAATATTTTAATATTTTGAACTCTTTTATAAACTAAAGGTAAGTTCTTTAATTTTATTACACCCTGTAACAATATGCAATATAACATACAAGACTTTTTTTTTCATTATACAAAGTAGAATTGTTCCATACTCTTTGCTTGTTGCACTGAAACTGATTTCATGTTTCTTGTTACTATAATGGAAATTGAATTGCTTCCTCAAAGTAACATGTTCCATGGTGACTCATAAAATAAAGGGGGAGTGGAAGGAAGAATGACTGCTTTGAGTTGTTCTGAGTTGTTATTTGAAGGCTTTATGATTACATTGTACATTAATCAGATATAAAATTAAAGCCCTAAAGTGTCAGAACTGGTCTGTGATTCCATCTGTGATTGAAAAAGGCAGATTCTTGCACTAAGTTCAGAGAGAAAACTCACAAGTCAAGGGTATATTCAAAACACCCAGAGTTCCTGTGCCTGGTCAGAGGAGAGAGTGAGAAAAAAGTGGCACAGAAGTGTTTTGAAAAGCTGAGCCAGACACACAGAGGAAACAGCACAGGCCAGTTCTCACAATGCAGCAAACATAAGGTCTTCTGCTATATTTAGTTCCCTTTCCCTGCCTTCCCTTCCCCCTTCAGTGCCTATATTTGAATTTGAGTTGTAGAGTAAGTTGTCTTTCATTTAATATAATTTTTTTCTCCTTTTTTCATGTGGTATCCTAACTTAATAGAATATTCACTTTTCATATAATATTGTAGTTAAATATAACTATGCTTAATTAGTGCTGACTTACCTTTTCTTTTCCAAAGCCTTTATATGGTGGAATGTGAGTCATAACTGTTGTTTGCATTTTTTTTTTGAACCTTAATATAACATTGAAAGAATTGTTATGAATAACCAATTTTTATTATTAGAAATAAAGGCCTTGTCTTGACATCTGGCTCTTTGGACTAGTCTTACTTCTATAGAATAATAGAAGATGAAAATAACACTGAATGTTTTATTTGTCTAATGTTCGTATTTTCAGGGTTTGCTGGAGGGTCCCCAAGGTCCACCTGGCAAAGAAGGTCAAAGGGTGAGTAAACTCAGTGAACAACTGGTGAGTGTGCTGACTGACCTTGATGTGCAACTTCTGTCTAAGCACTAATAAAAAATGGTAAGGTAGCAGCTGAGTATGAAGCATGCTGAAAACAAACTGAGCTTTGACACTTGAGTTCTCTCCAGTTGAGGGAGATTTAACAATTTCAACCATCTAAAGTGTTTTAATGACTGGCAGCACAGATGTAGATATTGTATTTTGTGCAATGTGTTTCTGCTATAATTTTAAGTTTAATAATATTAAAACTTTTCATTTGATTGCAGGGGTGAACCATACCTTACAACATCTAAGATATATGAAAATATGAATTTAGGGTCATTATCTAAAATATTAACAGAAACCAGTACTGTTGACCCAGGCCTTGTAGATGCCATTACACAAGTGTCAGAGCCTAAAACACATATACAAAAAAGAAGATACAGTAAAGGGTGGTGGGGAAGGGTGGGTAGATTATGAAAAATACATGAAATAAACCTTTGGTTTTTCAGAATTTTAATATAATGAAGTAACTGACTGACTGGTTTCTCCATGTTCTGTTTTTGTTTCCCCTGACTTATTGTAGTTCAGTAGAAACGATAACAAATATTTATGATTGTGTACAAGAAATAATTCAGTTTTATAAGTTTATAATCTAGTGTGTTCCTAAAAGTTTGGAAAGTTATTAAGACTCAAACATTTTAATATTTTTGTAAATTAAGTTGTGCCCAATTTATGGTTTTGAAGTTTGATCTCAACTCTTCTTGTTTGATTTAGGCATCTTGCTTTTAATATCTGAGTTAAAATATCTGAAGTGAAAAGATTTAGTATTTCTCATCGTTGATCTTAATAGACTATACTGAATTATTAAAGGCTAGTTTAATGATTACAGTAATAGTAATTATACTGACAGGGAACTAGTTCTTGAACAAAATGAACCCCAAAGCTATGTTTTATGTTGGTTTTTAAGTTGTAAAAATAGTACTAAATTTCATTTAAGTTGAACACAAAGATATGAAAGTTGAGTTTAAGTTTCACACATAAGGATTAAGAACCCATTCAGAAAAAGTCAATGTAGTAAAGGAGATTTCAAAGTTATGCGATGAATATGTTGTTAAAACATATTTACTAACATATGAACATGCTTATTAAGGATTTTAAAATTACCATGACTCTTACTGTTATGCTGTTAAATATCCAGGATACTGTGAAAAGCTATAGATATCCAGTTTTAGCATATTTAAAGTTTTCTGTGGAGTATTGAATCTGCGGAAAGACACAGTTTATTAGTTCTCCTTTAGGAACAGTTGTAAATATGGTTGTGTTTTTAGAAACATTGCTCCTGTAATTTCTTACTTTTTTAATACAAAAATTCAGAGCTAACACACTGTATCATATTTAATGGTGGATAAATGAATTTGAAAATACTTTTTTTATTTTATTCCATTTTGCAGTGGGAATTGGGGTGTTGATTCCTCATGGACGTTTTCCTACTCACATATAAAATAGAACTGCTGTCTCACTCCAACATCTATGAAAACAGGAGCACTGATTGTTTTGTAATCTTGCCATGCACACAGCTGCCTTGAGCCAAACAATGGGAACAGCAAACTGTAGAGCCTTGGCATCTGTCTTTATCTTTCTACCAGTAAGATGCTCACAACAATACCCTTCGTGGTGGCCACTCCTGCCCAAGCACTAACAACATTGTTTGCAGTCTTAATTCAACTCCCATGTGCTTTCACATTTGCAATACATTTAATTACACAATAACATACCATTTGTAACAAGATCTCTGCTCTGTTTAATGACAAACAGGACAGTGCACATCTAATGGCTATTAAATGTTCCTTTTTATTCAATTACAGATGTCATGTTCCTCTGTTCTACTTCCAGCAGATCCTCCAAATCTTTCACATTATGTGAAGTTATTGCTTTTGTCATGGGCTGTCTTCTGAAGATTAAAGCATATTATTGAGTGTGTAACTAGCTAAGAATTTTTTCTTCAACATATTGTTCAGACCTAAAAGTGATATTGTGTCCATTTTGCAGAGTTGAACTGTAACATATTAGTGACAACTAAAGTCACTTCAAAAACACCTAAATGTGTCTATTCAATTTGGATGCCACACTTTGAGAGCATGAAATTTTTTTTAAAACTTTCCATGTATACTGTACTTGTTATATTCAAAATTTTAATTTCCACTTACATCAGGAGCACTTCTAAGTGCTCAACTCCTTTAAAAATTTGCCTTAGATTAATAAGGAGCTGAGACGAGAATCATTAAGTGTATAACTTACAGACCTCTCAATACACATTGAAGCAAGATAAAAGGAACTGAGGAGAATTAACTGTTAATGGTGATATTGAAGAAACATGCAGAAGACTCACGTTAGAGCTAGTCACTTAGGTAAGTGACAATACAAAATGAGATAGAAAGGCCAAAGTACCCACTTTCATTCACATCTGTTAGCCAATGTTGTGTTTTCCTGTGGGCTCAAGTAGTCCTCACACATTTGCCATTCTTACAAAAGGCCGGCATTTCCTCTCACTCTCCCATTAGTGACTTTGTACAGTTTTTTAGGTTTTTTATCTTTAGTGAAGTGTTTTATCTTAGACATGAGACCTTGCTCAGTAATAGCTTTAGGTTTTAGTTTTGGTCACTGAAAGAAGTGAGCCAGCAGAAACAGCTACTCATTCCCTTTTCCTCATTCCTTTGTAAGAAACATTAGACCATTCTGTGGGCAGGCACTACGTTCATCTGCAATTTTTCAGCATCCAGCATGTTGGCTTCAGGCATGTTACTGCTGCAGCAACTTGATACTATTACACAAGTGCTCAGAATGGCATCAGGAGTTACAGAAGGTAACTTGACGTTACTCAGAAAAGTCCCTAGTCGATATTACTGGCCTACAAATAATAGAGAGATTGGGTGCTAAGCTAACATTGCATGGAATTTAAACCACAGTGGACAACTACTCCATCTTCCTGTCTCTATGTTATGCAGAACTTCATTATTTTTCTCAGTATGCCTGCACTTTTTAGTTATGTATATCTTTCACAGAAGTACAGTTTCCTGTTGAAAGACGAGACTTCACAAATCTCCCTGATTTCCTTCTTCCAGTGTTTCTTGTCAATCACATATTTCAAAATATATATTTTATTTTACACTTTGGCATGTAGCTAATCCTCCAATGGCCTTCAACAACTCTTTTATTTACGTCTGTTTTATATTAAAGAGGTATTTAGAGTTTTTTTCTCTATAATCAAATCACCATTCCATTAATTTCTGAAAAAAATTCAACTAAGGTCCATCAGCTCCCCACGTAAAGAATTTTCTGAAGTCTTCAAATAATTTTGTCATGTTCTACTTTCTTAAAAATTTCTACTACCTATAATTTACAGAATGAATGGAGTTTTCCAGATTCTGCCTTTACTGTGTTAAACGCAGTGAAGTTAAATGCATTGAAATTTATATTTCCAAAATAAAATTCAAAATGTTTTGAAAATTAATGCTTAATTTCAGTTGGATATCTTTGTAGCATGAATTTTTCCCTGAACTTTATGCATTTTTATAAATACTATTTTTTAGTATTTAGAAAAGTATTATTTTTATAAATACTATTTGTTAGGCAGCTATACTGTGAAATCTAGAAAGGGACATTTTTCATTCTCAGTTAGCCTGTAGAAGACCCAGGCCCAGCATGCAGCTAAAATACACAGCAGTTTGTACCAGAGTTTTGGCTTTTTTAAGGTTGTCTTGATAACTTGAGATTCTGGGCACTTTTTCTGAGATTTGGGAAACTTATGAGGATACTGAGGATACCTGTTGTTTCCAGGTAAGGGTAACTCTATCAGCTGTCCCTGACCAGCAGGTGCCTGCAGCCTTTTTTCCAGCTGACCCCTGAGTAGGGACAGTCAAGCACCCTTTTATCCCAGGCCAGGACAAGGACTATGTAATAGCAGTTTGTGCAGCAATAGCAGAAGTAACCAGTAGATGTACAGCAGGTTGCACAGCAGGTCATGCAGAAGGGCACAAGGCACAGGACCAAGTGCTACTGAAGTAGTGCTGACAGCTCTTTGCTTTCAGACTTTTGTACCCAGGCAGCTTCAAATGGAGTCCACAGCTCTGTAAGTCCATGGGGCCTCACACATTGCATCCACAAGTGCAGAGGGACCTGTCTGATGTCATTGCAAGGCCTCTCTTGATTATTTTGAGTGGTCATGATGACTGGGAGAGGTTCCTGAAGACTGGAAGAGAGCAAATATCACTTATGTCTTCACAAAGAAAGGTCCAGGGAACTAAAGGCCAATAGCCTTCACCTCAGTCCCTGGGAATGTGAGAGATGAAATCCTCCTGGAAACCATTTCCACACACATGAAGGACAAGCAAGTGATTGGGATAGTCTGCATGGATTTATGAAAGAGAAATTATGCTTGACTAAATGCTTCACTTTCTATTATGATTTGACTAGCTTGGTGGACGAGAGCTGAGCACTGGATGTTGTTGACCTCAGGTTTTGCAAAGCCTTTGACATTATCTCCCATAATTTCATCTTGTCAACTTAACAGACAAACTGACAAAGTACAGGTTAGATGGGTGGATGGTGAAGTGGATTGAAAACCACTAGGTCCAGAGATTTATCATCAGCGGCACAAAGTCCAGTTGGAGATGCATCAGTAGTGACTACTACCCCAGGGCTACTACTAGAGCCAGTACTGTTCAACATCCTCATTAACAGCATGGACAATAAGGCAGAATGTAGCAGAGGACTGGTGTAAGGGAACTCACATGAAGTTCAACAAGGGGAAATGCAAAATCCTGCATCTAGAGAGGGACAACCTCAGATATCAGTATACACTGGGAACAAACTCTCTGGGAAAAATTTTTGTGGAGAAGAACCTTCTGGATAATAAGCAGACCATAAGCCAGCAGTGCATCCTCAGGGCCAAAAAAAAAGGAGGCCCAGAATATCCTGGGTTGCATTCAAAAGAGCAG